CGCATTACTGTGAGTAATCCTCCTTTCTGACATTGGAGTGGGAAGAGTGGCAGGGGTAGGAATGGTATTACCTATAGTAGAGGGTTGTGTAGGTATCTCAGGAGTTGGATCAGAGCTGGACGAGGGACTAGGCACTGGCACTGTTACTATAGGCACCTCTGGTTCCTCCCCCCTCCTACTGTATGTAAGCAACTCCCCCTGAGCTATAGGCCTAACACCCCTTTTCTCCTCCTTCTCCCCTTCGTCTTCATCCTCCTTCTATCCTGAGTACGGAATCGAAATTGGGATTGACCCCCTTGAGCTCTCACCATTCTCCCCCTCTTACCTCATACCTCCAGTATCGGGCAAGTCGCCAAAAGGTGAAGTAACCCCCGCTGTGTAGTACGGCTCAAGCTCCCAAAACCGCACATCCATGCTGACAAACAACCTTTTCTCCACCGGGCTCCAGCAGACATACCCTTTCTGGGTATCATTGTATCCCATGAATATACACTTCACAGCTCTAGGGTCTAGCTTCCCAACCGATGGTCTATTGTCCTTCACAAAGAACACACAGCCAAATACCTTCAATGATAGGGCCCCTCCGTTATCTCCCTTCAGTGTCTCACGAGGAGACTTCCACTCCAACACAGTCGAATGCATCCGGTTGATTAAGTGAGCAACAGTCAAGACTACTTATCCCTACAAAACCTTTAGGACATTCATTGCCATCATCATACTCCTAGCAACTTTTAGAAGATGTATGTTCTTCCTCTCTACTATCCCATTCCGAGCTGGGGTGTATGGGCATGTAGTCTGGTGTAGAATCTCCTGTGCTGACAGATACTTCTCAAGAGTTCTGTTGGTGTACTCTGTCTCATTATCCGACCTCAACATCTTACTACTGCACAATACTGAGTCTGGATGTGCTTATGAAAATCTTTAAAACATCCAACTACATCACTTTTGTTTTTTATAAGATACACCCAAGTGACTCTAGAAAAGCAATCAATAAATGTAATAAAAAACTTGCATCCATTGATAGAATTTACTGGGTAGGGTCCCTATATATCAGAGTGTATTACTTCAAACTTGCAAGAAATCCTATTACCTGAACTAACATAAGAGCTTCTAGTCAACTTCCCAAACTCACAAGCATCACACTGCAGCTTCTGTTTATTTACTTTTCCAAACAGTGTTGGATACATTTTACCCAAAATGCCAAATAACGGATGTCTCGTCCGTTGATGATAAAGCATCAACTCATCTTCTGCACACACTTTAGCTCCTCCTGTTCCCGTCCTCTCTACCATAGATGTCAGCGCTGAGTCCATCCCTTCGCGGTTCAAGTACCACAGCCCGCTACGTCATGTCCCAGTCCTAAGTCTTCGCCATGTCCCTTTCTCCTGGAAGATCATCTTGGGAATGTTAAAAGAAACAATACAATTTAGTTGGAGAATAATGGCACTAATGGATAACAGGCTAACAGGAAATGAAGGAGCAGGCAGAACATTAGATAAGGTTATAGAACCTGTACAACTAACAGTGCCCTTACCAACCACATCATGTGTTGTACCATCAGCGATCTGGATGCTCTCTACTTCTGCTAAGTGAGTGTAAGATAAGAACTCACTGGTATTGCCTGTCACATGTCTGGATGCTCCAGAATCTATTATCTAGGAGGTAGATCTTCCCTCGTTTGGGTGTGCGCAAAGGGCTTAATTAGCATAGTCTCCTCCAGAGAAAGTAGTAGATGCTCCCTCAGATACATCACCTACTGCCCTCTGCTTCCTCCTCAGTGCTGCCAAGAGTGCACGATCCTCAGCAGTGAAGATCATTTCAGCTTCTTCTTCTCTTTCTGTCACTGTCAAGTTTGCTCGGTGGCCTCCTCTTTCACCTCGCCTACCTTCACGGCCACGACCTCGACCTCCAGTCTGACCCCGTCCACCCCAGTCCCTCTCCTTGGGTGGCTTGGGGCACATCTGTCTCAGATGCCCTATCTCTCCGCAGTTGAAGCACTGCCTAGTCTCCCCTTTGAATCCAGTGTTATCCGGGTTGGATACCACCAGTGCAGACTTCTCTCCTGTAAGTCTGCCTGTCCCAGCCTGTAGCCTGATATGGCTCTCCTCCTGTATCATGACCGAGACTGCCTCCTCCAGTGGTGGGATCTTCGTCTGAGTTAGTAGCAACGTCGTCCTCTGCTCATACGCTGGAGCCAAGCCTCGGAGAAATAACATGGTCCTCTTCTGCAAAGAGGCCTCGCGTTCCTTGCACTTCGGATCCTTACAGCTCGCTAAGGGTGAGAAGTGATCGTGATCGAGCCACAAACGCTCCAGCTTTGTGGCGTACTCCTATACAGTCCTCTCTCCCTGGACTGTAGCACTGATCTCCTTCTCGATCTGGAATACCCTCATGTTATTCCCCACCTCATCGTAGGTCCTCCTCAGCTTCTCCCAGACATCATGCACCCTTCCAAGGCCATCCACTGTTGTAGCAATTGGCTGGACTACAGAATTCAAAAGCCAGATATACACCAACATATGAGTGGACTTCCACTCATCTCTCCCTACTGAGCCCTCAGCTGGCTTAGTCTTCTCTCCTGTCAGATATCCCTCTAGGCTCCTCCCGACAAGGGTATATTTTACCCGACGCGACCAACTCAGATATGTCGCGGGTCCATCAAGTTTTACATCGATAGGTGGAAGCTCCACTTTCTTGGGTTGTGGCTTTGTCGATCCCTCTCCCGCCGACAACCTCATCAGTTGCATCAGTGTTGAGATCTCCTCAGGATTCAACTTCTTGATGATCCCCTCCATCGGATTCCTACCAGTCTCCGTCATCGATCTAACTTGTATTCTTATTGTGCGCAGCAAAAATTTCGGCAGCACTTCGACAGTACCATAAGAGAGATAGATCAACAAGAATTCCTATTTTACCAAGGAAACAAGAATCAGAAGCAAGATATCTCGACAAAGTGGGATATCAGCTCTTCCTCTCATCAGTTCTAGGGCTGACCTGTCGAGGGAACCTAAACAAGCTATTACAACTTCAAAGATTGTCAACAAACATAGGCAAAACATATGAAATTTCCATACAGACCCCTATCTCATTATCAAATTTACCAAAAACTACCCACAACGTTGGCCACAAAAAAAAGCAATATTGTTAAAAAAAATCTTTGACCTGCTTCTTCACCGAGTCTCACCCCCCCAACCTTTCAGATCCTCTCTCTCCTTCCGTTTCCTCTCTTCTCCAAATCGCAACTGATCCTTCTTCTCCTTCCGAACCCTCCAGAGCCCGTTTCCTCTCTCCTCCAAATCGCAACCTCACCGAAAAGTTGGTGGCGGTCCGGTCGCCACCTCTTCCGACCACGAATCTCTACTCCTCCTCTTCGGCTTCTTGATCATCGAGCTCAAGCTCGACCCCATCGGCTTCTCTCCGAAAAGGGGGAGCAGCGGGGTTTGTTCGAAGAAGAGGGAGCAGCTTGCAG